CTGGTTGGAATTCCGCGTCGCGCGATTCCGCGCGGCGGATCGCTCCGCGGTTTTACATTCGCATACGCTTTCGTCATCTTTGTCGTCTGGCCGCATTGGGCGAAGGAAACGCGATCATTTCCGCGCCATTGAATAAGTTATGACCTCGCAAACCGCGCGGTCGATTTCCGATATAGTCGCGCGGCTTCTTCTTCTTCTTTTTTTTCCTTTTTTGCGCGAGCGCCCGCGGTAATATATGTAATTACCCGGCGGATATATGCGCGTTCATGCATTCAAACGGCGAGCACTTTCTCGCCGGACTTTTGTCGCGTCTCTTGGAAAACTCGCGGCGGATTACCGCCGATTTCTCCGCGAAACGATCGATCGTCGTGTGGGGGGGAAAAGTTGTAGGGTTCATTCATTATTCTCCGATTACTCGCATATATTCCTCTCTCTCTCTCTCTCTCTCGCTCCCTCGCATATTCCCACATCTCCTCCCGCGTGGATTCTCGGGGATTTCCGGACGGCCACGCGCGTTAATCTCCTCCGCGAACACGTGTGTATTAGGGAAACTTGTCTCGGCAACCGGAGAATAGAGATCTTATCTCTTGCGTGACGCGTGACACGGAGTATCACGGCCTTTGTGCACGTTATAAGGAGGTTCCTCTGCGAAGACAATTGCGTGTCTCGCGGGGGTCGGTCTCTCTCTCTCTCTCTCTTTCTCTCTCTCACACTCACCGAGAGAGTGAAGTGCATTTATCGTCACAATGTGTATGTCGTGACCGCGATAACATCGCGCTCGAAATTCGGTGTATCACGTGAGAGAAAGGGGGAGAGAGAGAGAGAGAGAGAGAGAAAGAGACTGACCTAATAACGCGCGCCCGTTTTCTACGTACTGCACGGAGGGCGCACGAAGCGCGCGTATCGCGTTGCACCGAGGAAAATTGACGCGATCGTTTTTTTTTTTTCCTAATATCACCCGAGAGATCAGAGAAACGTGAGTTTTCGCGGTGGATACGCGATGTTTTTTTTTTTTTTTCCGATACCCACACGGTATACATAATAAATTACGCAAGTGGTCGAATCACAAGAAGTATATGCGTCTCCCGCGACTATGAATTTCGGGACGACGTGTAAATTTATGTATTCCGGTACGCGCGTGTATGTTTCCGCGCGGCGACCGGCCAGGCCGGAAGAGAGAATCCGCGCGAATTATGTATGGGTTTATGAATCCCAAACCGCGCATAGGGCCTCGAGGGTTTCCGGGGGAATCCATGAATCCATGAATCCTCGTGAGCCAGGTCAGTTCCCATCTGCCGATACGCCTCTCCTCTTGAGAGAACGCGAGCGACGACCGGCGTACTGGCCGAATAAATCTCTTTCTCCGCCTCTCTCTTTCTCTCTCTCTCTCTCTATTTCTTTCTCTTTCTCTAACTGCTCTATGACTGATTTTTTTGACAAGGATATAGACCGCAGCGCGCGAAGTGGGTCGGAGGTGCAAAATGGACGCGCTTCATCCTTGCGACAAAATGTTTTTTTTTTTTCGACACTCCTCCTCGATCCGATAATAGAGCAGGAACCGAGTGATGAACGATATGCCACGCACACACACACGCACACACACACGAGTCCTCGAGTACACGAGACGACGCACACGATACAATCGACGATATATAGATAGTTTTTTTGTTGAAGGGACGATCGATTCGCGCTTCCGGCTGAAATCGAATTTTATTCTTTCGGCGAGAAAAAAATTTGATTTATTTTAATACGAGACAATTCTGTTTCTCTCTTTCTCTCTCTCTCGATAACTGTAACATTTTTTTCAAGAATTTGAATTTTATGCACAAGTTTTGTTCCATTCGCGAAACAAGAATGGAATTCCCACAAGCGTGCAGGGAATTGCTGCAAGATATCCAGTTGTAAAATATCGCGGTGAAAAACCGGCGAGTAAAATTTGCAAACGGAACAACGCGCGATCAGACGTTTGTGATGCTCTTTCTTTTTCTCTTTTTCTTTTTTAATGCCGCGAGAGGTCCTTTACATACGAGAGGATTGGTATGTTAATTCTCGATGTTAAACGGAACTCTGTCGGATCCGTCGTCCCTTCTGACATTTTGGCATGCTCTCTTTCTCGCTTTTCGCCTCGCTAATTTGCACACATTAAACTCGCTCGCTCGTCTTCTCTACTCGCTTGTGTTTTTTTTTTCTGTTTTACACGGCTCTTTTTCCGCGGCAACCGTCGCGGCGCACGCTCCGTACCGGTGAACTCGGTAGACGCTTTACATCGCTCGCCCTCTTCCCTTTCGTTACTATCATTCGCGCGATGTGTCTCACAAAGGTAGACTTTTGCGTGAAACAATAGATTCGCTAGATTCCAATTCAGATTTTTTTTCTTCAAATAACAGAGAAATACAAACGCAGATTGCGGCGTTTTTTGTTTTTGCGTTTGTTTACGTTAAGTTTTTTCTTGCAGCGCAACGTTAAAAAAAATAAAAAAAAAAATAAACACACGGGAACGTCTTTGCAAACAGTTTTTCTGGAGAAGAGAGACTCCGTTACGAGCGGAGCAAAAGTGATACGACCTCGTTACCGGTGGGGCAACGCGCGCGCGACATTTTCTACTGCGGAATCTCTCTCTCTCGACGGTACTCCGGGGAGAGATTCCGTATTTTCCGTAGCGGTTTCGTTCCGTTTATCGGACTCGCGGTTCTCTTATCAAACGAGGAGAAGAGCCAGAGACTTCGCGATTGTTCGCGTCTCTCTCTCTCTCTCTCTCGCATATATTTCGTTTTAATTCCCACGGTAACCGACTGCGCGCTATTTCTTTTCTTCGTCGCGCGAAGCCCCGCGTGAGGTAGACAACAAGACGCGGAGCTAGACAACGCTAATTTATTAAAACGAAAGTGTTTCGTACATATATTTCGAAAATTATAAATCGCTCTGGAGAGTTGGTTTTTTTTTGTTTTCAAACAATTACGCGCCATCCTTTATTTTCCATTAGACCCCCGTTAGAACGCGAAGTAACGCGCAGTTCACCGCGCGAAACTTTTTTTCCTTCGCGGCGAGAGAGACGAGGTTTAAGTTTATATTTTTGTAAAACTTCACACTCTCGACGGTCTCTACGATCTCTCGCGCCGCTTGTTTCGTTCCAATTCTCGCGTGTAGTTTTTTTCCCTAAATTGAATGAAATGACTTTTTATCAGTTTCCTCTGTGTCTTGAATCGCGCGCGGACGAAGCAACAACTTATTTTTCTTCTCGCCCGCTGCGCGCGCACAATCGCACGGCATTGCATGCATGCATTTGCCGCACTACTCACGTTCTTTCTTCGTTTATTTATTTAACACCTTTCTCGCGAGCGAGGAAGGTCGTTTCTTTCCTTTCCTTTTGTCTCGTTGTGGCATTTGGTATATCAGAGAAAAGAGGATTTTCCGACGAAGGTGTCGCGACGAAATAAACGAAGAAACACGTACTTCGAATACACAGCTGATCTCACAGGCAGATCTTATAGGTCGGTGTATCGAAGTTGCATGAGGTCGAATGGCATGTATACACGTTTTTACTCGAATGTTTTGACGTGTCCTGACCTTTTTTCTGTCTTTCTCTCTCTCTCTCTCTCTCTCTCTTTCTCTCTCTCTTTTTCTCTCCTCCGTTTGTTTTCTCTTTCCCTCTGGAACGAGACTACCTCCGTCACATATCCGATACGCACAATATATCCGTCAATATACGATTTTCGATACTCTCGCCTTATGTGTGTTCGATTTACAAATGTGTTGCTCCCGTTTGTGTTGGATTCTTACTTTTTTGTTCTCTCTCTCTCTCTCTCTTTATTTTTTATTTACGTGTATACATCCAAAAACTTGAAACCCTCTTCCTCCCGCATGTTGAGAATATTATTGCGTTATAACGTAGTAACGTTAAGAATAAATATATTGAGTAAAAAAGAGAAAACAAAATAGATTGTAAACTGATTGTTACGACTGGAATGTGGAAGGAACGTAGAAAAAAACATTTTGAAGGAGTTTTATTTAGTTTTGGAGGAATAAAAACGAGAGATTATAAAGAAACATTGAAGAACAGTTGAAACTCGCCGCGACTCTTTGTCATCTTCTCTGAGTAACGCAAATTGAAGAGAAAAATATTTTATAATAAATTGGCGCACACAGATCTCGTACGCGCGGGGAGTACAGCAACAACGGCGATATTTGTTTGCATAAACTTGAAGAAACGAGGAGCTCAAATTAGACGAAAAATGAGAAGCGAGAGATCTCGCGCAATTGCGTCGCGGAATTGCGTCGAATATCTCGCGCGCGCGCGCGAGAGGAATAAAAACGATGCGGAAATCCGTGATCGTTATAAGGTCGAACGGATTTAATTAACATTTTATTTCGACGCGCGCGAGCGAGCGATGCGGCGCGTTTGCATCGCGTCTCTGTGACCAATAAGAATTTTCTCCCTCTCGTCTCGATATAACTCTTTGAAAAAAGCGAGCAAAGAACCAGTTCCAAATTAACATTCGGCGTCCGAAGTTTGCTCGCTCGCTCGCTCTTTGAACTGTGCGACGTGTCGTAATCTCTCGACGACGACGACAACGTTCCTTCCACGTTCAAGAGCGTTTGACGTCAGCGTTGATACACTTGGAAAGTTTTTACATTTAAAATCGAGAAACGTTCCCAAGATCGTGGTCCCGATGGGAAAGCGCATCGGGAATCGAAATATCCGAAAATCCCAAGTAGAGCCTCTCTCCGACATGCCGTTCAGTTTCCGTCCATCTCCCGATCTATCCTTCGTCTTCTATTATTCACGTTCCGTTTTGCAACCGCTCTCTTTTTCTCTTTTTCTCTATTTTTCTCTCGCTTTTGTGCCTCTTCTCTGATTCCTCTACCTTTACATAAATCTTCTGAAAAATTCTCCTTCCGCTCTTCTATATTATATAATCTCTGTCTCAACATCTCTTCCGTTTTCTCTTTCTCCGACTTTTCCGATGCCGATTTACTGAAAAACGATCTGCGCACTTCAGGTCGAAGCATCATCACGAAGAAGGGCGACGGCTCTCAAGTGAAAGAATCTACCGACAGCAGCACAACGATCGAAGACGATGACGTTAAAGGTAGGAAATTCTCGTCCTCTCTGTTTTTTTTTTTTTTTTTTTATTTATTTATTAATCGCGTGTCTTTTTTTCTCTCTCTATCTCTTTTTATCTGTTCTCTCGTTGATTACAAGATAAATCGTGTCAAATTCTCTTTGGCGCGTAGTTTCTAGCGTGTGATAATTTATTAATAAAAACGAAAAAATCCGAGTTTATAGGTTGTTCAAAAGCTCTCTCTCACTGAGAGCTTTTTACACACGATCTCTGAAACGCGAACTTCGCGAGAGATGTAAATATCGAGCCGCGAACGCCGTCTCGTGTTTGGTAACGCGAGAAATCTCGTTGTCGATATGTAATTTGCGAGAAACTTGTAAAAAGTTCGCGAGCGATTTCTCACACGCGATCGTCGTCTCTCTCGGTCGAGAAATCGCTCGCGAGGTGCACACATGCCGTAACGAGCACCCGCTCGAAGTTCCGATTGACGTCTGTTGGCTGTTAAAGCAACGTCGCCTTTGTGCTCGAAAGCATCGGATTGAATTATGATTTCGCTGCCGTCGTCGCGGTATTGTCGTTACGCGAGTAGAATAATCGCGCTTGTGATAATACACCGATAACAACAATCCGTAGAAGTTCCCGGCGAGGATTCGCGACGTCTACCTCACCGCGCGCAGTCTCTATTCGTTAAGAAGATTTAATGAGAAACTGCAGGATTATCGCACAAGTTTGCGTAACTATGGGAAAAAAAAAAATTTGCTGTCATACGGCGAGCAAGAAAAATTGGTCGAGTCTATTGTATTAAATGGTTATTTCATTATTTAAAATCTCAGGAGACTCGGAAAACTTTTCTTGCTCTGGTCACGTAGTAATTTCTTGTGCTATTTCAGCAAATTTTTTTTTTCCGTGCGCATTTTCAGATTTCCAAACTGTATTTTTACGCGGAGGCCTTCGGTTCTGTTTACACAATACTTTGAGCTTTATTTGTAGAAAATTTACACATTTGTTTTTGTGTATTTTTTCTCTAAGCGGAGAAATATGCAAAATAGATATCTGATAAAATTTAATTAGAACGTAAGGACGAGGAGAAATTTAATATATCGAACTTTATTTAGGTGGTTTCAAGTTAGTGATGTTGAGAATTTTATGATTGTGGAAAAAAAAAGTGAGTCTTCGTTCTGTAAAAGCGCGCACAATTGTCTTAAAACGTCGAGGCCGGGCGCTTTGTGCGGAACGCGAGAGAGAGATAAAACTCACTTCTCGCGCATCCGCACGACGATGACGACGACGCCCCGAGTCGACTGTTGTATTCTGATCCGATCTTTCTCGCCCGCGATGCGACATTTTGTCGCGGATAAAATTTTTACAACGCGGGGAGATTAATTTGTTTTTATTGCACCATAAAACGCAGAAAGAAGTGCGCGCGTATTGATCCACCATTAGAGATACTCTCTGTCTCTCTCTATCTATCTCTCTCTTTCTCTCTCACACGTGCAAATCGATCGTTGGACAATAGCTCGAGTAGTTAAGTACCCACTCGTTGCTTAACCTTCTGGTTACTACACCTTTGCCTACACTTCCTTCTCCCTACTCTGCGTAATACACCTTGCGTTTTGATCACCGGTAACGCGCTCGCGGAAAATAACACGCCACGAAGAATCTCTCGAACGTTGCGATTTTTTTTCCGCGGAGATATAAAATCGAGAATCAAAAAAAAAAAAAAAAGATCGAGAGAAAATAAGCAAATTTTTATTCCGCGTCGATACTCTCGCGAGATTCTTTTGTGACGTGTGCTCCGCAGAGAGTGTCGCAGAAAGTTGAAGTTTGTTCCCAACTCTTCCGATTTGTAGAAAAACAAGAAACAATACAAATCGATTTCGCCTTGTGATCTTTCTCTCTGCCTCCTTGTAGACGACACACTTTTGACTGTACACTTGTCGATTGGGGCCTGTTTCACGCACGTGGCTCTTTGAAGTTCAATCGAAGGCATCTCCTCGTCGTACACACACACACATACACACGCAACATCGAGGGAAGAGCGGACAGTCGCGGCGACAATCGTGAATTCATTTCCAAACGGATCTCGTAATTGAGGCTAATCAAATAATCAGACAATATAAATATTTACTCTCTCCTCTTTGTTTGTAGTCCGTGTAATACGGAATCGCAATTCCATCGACTGTCAACGTCGACTGTGTTGCTCTTTCCAAAATTTTACACGACACACGGTGCAATTGACACTCGTTTCACGTCTCTTGCGTTTGAAGCTTATCGCGAAAAAACAATTTCGCTGTTTTACATGGCAAGAAAAATATACGTTTACAAAAAAAAATACATTTACACATTAAAAATATAAACGCCTGAAGTTTTTGTTTTGCTAAAACAAACGTTTTGTTGGCAAAGCAACAAAATTACTAGGCTAAATTTACTAGGCTTAGCAAATTTTTCTTGCCGTCCGTGCGGTAACTTCTTGCTAGTCCAGCAAAAAGTCAGACCAGCAAAATTTTCTTTTCGTGTATAAATAGCCTATTCACAAACACACACACACACACACACAGGAGCGGTATTTTAAACGTGTATATTATGTACCCTCTCATCATCGACCCGACACAAACGCCGAGTCTGTACTCACGTATACGTTATCGCTCGCGAATCAGCCTCTCCTCCTGTATGTGCAACACGAGCTTGTCTTTCAAGTTTCCCGCTAACTCTGACGTTCGATGTCTCTCGCAATTTCTCTTATCGAAACTCCAACGTGTCTCTCACCTGTATGAGATTCACGTACACAAATACATACGCGACAGATGAGCGAGAGCTTCCAAAGCGCTGTCTTCTCTCGCTTCGAGGTGTGCAATCTGCGATTGTGAAAACATCCAATAGGGTGGCTTTTATTTTCAACTTTTTCCATTTTTTTTGCAGCACTTTCTAGAGTGGTTCCAATTGCTAAAAAAAATAATCTGTGAAAAATTTTTGCCCGATCGAACGAGGTGCTCCCCTGAACTCTTAAACATTGAACAAATTATTTCAATGCGTAAATCGATTCTTTATGTCGCGAAAAAAATTTGAAACAAAATGTTTATCAAGAATAAATAAGAACCACTCTAGTATGCAATTATTATCGCACGACGACGGGCAAAAATAATGTCGTAATTTCGAGGAAAAGATTGTTTCGATCGCGTCGAACTTGTAAAAACTCAAAAGAAAAACATCTGAACAATTTTATCTCGTGTGAGAAGCCTTTCGAGCTTTTCTCTCGGTTCCCAATCAGACCTCCTCCCCTCTCTCAAGTTCAACTTGAAACAAAAACTCCGACACACTTCTGGCCCGGAAACCAAATACTGCGCGCGTTCGCACATCGATCGCGGAGTTCTTTTGTCTCGCGGTATCCGGAAGAAATTCGAGAGCCATCCTCTTCCTCGCGCGTTCCCATAATTTCGACGGAGTTGAATTCTTCCGATATCAGGATTGTTGCGCAACTCTCGCGGACGTGGCGCGCCTGTAACGAGACGAAAAACGGGCGCGCGTATAATTAAAAAAAAAAAAAAAAAACGAGCGAAAAGTTCTCGATTAAAGAGCGAATTGTCTGTTTCTCGCATTTAACTCGACGAAATTCGAGCGAATTCTTTCTCCAGCTTGTTGTCCGATCCGCGGTTTTGGAAAATAATTTCGCTCGCGAGTAAAAACAATCGGATTCTTTTCGCGAGTGTCAAATTCGCGATTGAAAAAACGAATCGCTTTTCTCGCGAGAGAGCGCAATACGTCCGAATCTTTGCACGCGTCCTGCCCCTCCCATGCAGCATTGACAGTTTGCCGAATGTTGTCCGGGACAACAACGTTTCGCGCGCGCTTCCGAGATTACCAAAACCCATTTTACACACGACGACGCACATACACACACACACACGCGCGCGCAAGAAAACTCATTTGTCACGCGCGAACGCATGCATTTTTCTCACCCGTGCGAACGACGCGTTATATTAATCTTCGCGAAAGAGATAAAATGAAATAAAACAGCGCCGGAAGTCAATTTTTTTCAGAGCGCGCGGTGATTTGCAGTCTAATTTTTTCGAATTGGAAGATTAAAATAGATCTGAAAGCTATGTTGGCGATTTGTAATATCAAAGTATTGAAAAAAAAAACTCAATCTTGTCTGAACGTTCCGGTCATTTTTATTTTTATCGTCTTCAGCCCCGATCTGTAAAGGAATAAAAAATTCAATTTGTCCATGTTTTTTTTTATAAAATAATCAACGTGTTCGACAAAAGAACTGATTTTTAACTTTTACAGATCTCTATTTTAATTTTTACATTTTTTCTCTAAAAGCTTGTTTTCCAATTAATCACTTTTTCCGAATTTTTATTTGTATTATTGACACATTCGGATGCGCTTCGCGAAGGTGTAATGCGCGCGTTGGCTCTGTGCATTTGCACGGCCGATGACGTCGAAATTAGATTGGTCAGCGTGGCCTGAATGGAAACGAATCGACGTCATTTGCTCTCCCACGTACGTATTTGACCACGAGCGAACATTCGCGCGCGCACGCACACACACACACACACACGCACACACGCTCGCACAAAATCAGACGATTTTCAACAACCAATGTATACCCGTGTCTTTTCTCCCCATAAGCAGACACCGTGAAGGCAAAAGCACCAGACACATACATTTGTGAAACAGCTGCGTGAGAAGTGATAACACACTGTGTTGTTATTCTGTGACCCCCTTGTAGCTCGATGCTCACAAATCCATAACACACACATAATTTTTTATATATATATATATAAATAAAAGGACGTAACGCGCGCGCACGCGCATTGTGACAGCAAATGAAAGAGTGCACCGTATAATCGGATAATCACAGACACACCATAGACCATATAGAGTGCAACTTGTACTCGGTTAGAGTGCGCGTTTCCATCATTATGTCATTCGGCCGGAAATGTGATCATTTGCTCTGCATCTGTTTTGTCTTTTAATTACACACAGACGTAGAGACACACACACACACACAGATTACACGCACA